GAACATGTTCGCGCGTGCAAATGTTTGCAAGGCGAAATGTCTTAAGTAATTGTTGTACGTCAATAACGGGCGCAAATGTAAGTCAAGGATAACGGATGGCATAATTACAGCAAGCATGTAAGTGTGTACGCATTATTTGTGTACGTGTTTCGATCATCAGAAAATTAATCCCTTGGGTATATTTGCTTACAAACAACTGCATACCTACTTGATGCATGCGTACTATTTCCTATTTATTTCTTGCAAAACCCCCTCCGCCTGCAGACGGGCATCCATGTCGTGGTGAACTCGACAATTCTGTTGCTGCAATAATTGAAAGTGTGTTTCAAGTGCTCGATGGACATGTGTGTATTAGGTCTTACGGTATAACCATAGTTATATGAATGTCATACTGATCGATGAGTAAGTACATGAGTCGCGTATGTCGCAGCATACTTAGCGTCAGCTGGTTAGCGTTTCGGGGCGGCGCTAACTTTCTTCCAAGATGTCGGGCGGTACATGTTATCAGCTGTGCATGGACATGTTATATCAGTGATGAAATGTACCCAAATGATGTCACCGGTGAATTTGCTGCCAATGATTGCCTGAAATGAATGCTGTGACTTATTGCCACCGAGACAATAAGTCGACATTTACGGTAGGCCACGGACCTTCTCGGACACGATCTTAATCTTGATCATGTTTCACCTTATTTAACCCATAGGTCACAACCTAGATACCTAACAAATTCATATGCATCAGTTTATATGGAGCCTTACCTACCGCCTGAATGTAATGTTTTAGCTGTCTAGCTACGGCCTCAACCACTCCAATGGTTTCTTGGATCAATAATCCATTGGGTACTGTGGCAAAACACGGCACTTGGAAACTTTGCTCATAGTCGGATCTCTTCGCAGAGGCCAGATATCAGCAATAGTTGTTTCGCCATGTAAGACACCGCTCAGAATGTTTTGGTTATATTCCTTAATACCCTTTTTAGCACAACTAGGTGGAGGACATGCTACCAAACCGTCCTTTATACCGCCCCGTTACGAAATGTAATCAAGAGCACGCCCCGAGACCTCAGTTGGTTACAGTGCCTGGTCTTCGGTTTACCTGCCCGGTTTGAGTCTTTCTAGGCGTTTGCTATGTGCTCCTGACCGGATAGCCTGCGGTCGGTGGCAGCGGCCGCACTAACGGCTAGGCAATGTCAGAGAGCGGGGCGGGGCCGTGCCGAGCATTGCGGCACGTTAGCTTTGGCCCCGGAACGCCGCTGTTGACCCGGGGCTTTGCGATCGGATAGTGGGGTCAGAGCTCAGAGCAGCAAGCAGTTCTTAGCGCGGGTGCTCACCGCATGAATACTTCAAATCAAGACGTTCGGACTAGTCTAAAAAAATATCATGGCCGCCTGCATCACAGCACATCACAATGCGGCTTACCCCCTCCCCCCGCCATAAAGAAAACAGTTCTTATATCACAGATGCCAAGAGCGGTGCCTGTTTCTTCTGCTCCTCAGTCGTGTGAGCGTAGCGTACGTACGTACGTAGCGAGCGTACCCAAAACATCCCTTCTTATCCGTGAGCACAGATGCCTGGAACGCTGAGCGGGGTCTCCCGAGTGCACCGGAAGTTTGTGGCTTAATAAAAAACAATATCAGACACACAAGTAAGTCGTGAAAGATTGCAAAAAATATGCTCTGTCTATAGGAAGATACTGTTCATACCATGTGGCCCAGCTAAAACCTGTACATGTTTTATTCTACAAGCAATTTTTTGCACAAACAAGCGTATGGTGACATCCTAGCCCTCCTTGTGCCGTGGGTGCTCCGTAAACGGCGCGGGGCAGCTGCGGAGAGTGAAGGGAGCATACACAATGATGGAAGAAGATCGGTGCCCGGCTCCGGTGGTTCTCTGACTGACAGCGGACTCCAGGTCTTGCGCGTTGGTGGTGATGCGGTCCAGGAGTGAGTCAGTTGGCATGAGGCGTGTCGGTGTTGGATCAGGTCTCTGACAGCACCACTGATAGGCGTCCCTGATAGCACCGCAACAAAATAAAACCCAGGAGCATTACTGATAGGCGTCCCTGATAGCACCACAACAAAATAAAACCCAGGATCATCTATCCGAGGTGAGGTTTCGTCATACTTTATGCAACCGTGCGTAAAAGTGTCCCCATTAGAAATACACGGCACGGAACACGTATAATCATTTGGACCAGTAATAACTGAGAAGGTAAGAAAGTGAAAGATACCAATGATCAACGTAACCAAGATTACATTGTATTTCAGTTTGAGATAAGACAGTAGTGATAGGTTTATTCTTCAGAGAAAGTCCACGAGAATGGAGATATAGTAGGGTTGATATTTCGACAGCATGCCTTTATCTAAGCAATAGCAGGAGTGAATTCAAAATTGCCTGCCCATGATCCTGCTCGATTTTTCAGTTTGTTTTTAAACGAAAAGCCACAGTTTTTAAAGGACATCAACATTCAGGGGATAAAACAAAGAGCGCGATTGGCAGCCATTACCACGATATAGTGCGTATCTAAGAATTAGAATACGCGAACATACGTCTACATGCAAAAGAATTCAAGTCCATAGGCATCACGCATCACACTTCATTAAAAAATGCAAGCGAGTTAAAGTAAACAGACATCACGCATCGTGCATCAATTACACATGCAAGTGATTTCAATTGAACAGGCATCGCATATCACGCGTCAGGCATCACTTACACATGTAAACGACTTAAAGGCAGCACACATCACACATAAAGGCACATATCACCTTGTAGTCACATGTAGACTGTATGAAAGACATGGGAGGGACATAGTCTTTGTCGGGGAGGCCATGCATGCGCCATATTCGTTTGAGAGTGGTGAACACCTGGTAGACGCTAAAAACAAAACAGGGAATACCTCATTCGGTAACCATTTTTTTTTCTTTTTGGCAAAACACGCGCTCGGGCTGAAATCGAGGGAAGTATGGACCCATGCTCCTTTAGAACTCGAAGTCATCTACAGAGCACAGGATCATCCAGTCAGGAAAGTAAGTGAATCTATTCTTATAACAACGGCGACTTAATCTTGACGTACAGGGTTCACCATGACCGGTTATGCGAACATAATATGCGCCTTTATGTGTGATGTGTGCTATCTTAACGTTGTTTTCATGTGAAAGTGATGCCTGACGCGTGATGTGCGATGCCTGTTCAATCGAAATCGCTTGCAGGTATAATTGATGCGCGATGCGCGATGCCTGTTTATTTCAACTCGCTTGCGTGTTTGAATGAAGCGTGATGCGTGATGCTTATTTGCTTAAATTCGTTTGTATGTACACATATGTTCGCGATTTCTAATTCTTAGATGGGCACTTCATCGTGGTAATGGCTGAAAATTGCTGTTTGTTTAATCCCCCGGATGTTGGTGTCCTGTAAAAATTGTGGCTTGCTGTTTCAAAAAAGCCTGAAAGATCGAGTTGAATCATCGGCAGGCAATTTTGAATTCACTTTTGCTATTGTTCCGATAAAGTTATGTTGCCGAAATATCAACCCAGCTATATTTCCATTCTCCTGGTTTTTCTCCGAGGAATAAGGCTATTACTACTGTTTTATCTGTGTGGATGATATGCCTCATTAATACACTGAACAACTCACGTATTTCAGCTTTTACGTCCCGTCATAATGCATCACCATGTGGCTTTAGGTCCTCCGGCAGGCACATTTCTCAATATTATAGCGATTGAAATTCATGGCGCCTCGATTCGTGACATGCCCTTTCCCAAGCGAAATGGCCACGTTCCAACCGAAGCTGGTTTTGCCAAGATGGATCTCAGTAACCACAATGCCAATGTCGATGCAATGCCGTTTATTCCATGAAACTAGCGCTGTTGGGTCAGTGACCGCGTTTCCCCAATGGCTTTGTCAATAGCTTGCCGTAGGTCTTGATGTATCACAGCAGTGTGTAAAGTTAACTTGGCTTCCGATGATTTCCATGTACGATAAATTGCTCTGTGCATGACATTTTTGGGTGACATCTATGATTCTGCTCCTAGCATGATATTTTAAAACGATAATTTTCGCAACAGGTGGTGCGCGATGGCAACGACAAATGGCAGTCTCGCACGATGTCCAGAATTAATTAGGGCGAACTGAAAACTTGTCCCTGATACGGCTCTGGTCTAGTATGGGAATCCCATTTTCAGAGCCGGCCTTTTTCTGTGAATCGATGATTTTGTTATGCTTTAGGTATGTATTTTGTCATGCTTTGCTCAGGCACGAAAAGCCCCTTCGCCACTTCCGGACCCTCGAGCAGGCAGGGGCTTATTTTCACAGCCCAACGAGCGCAGTGGGTAGGTCCGACGGAGCTGCAAGCACAGGAACCGCAGCTCACTGCCCACGGGATCACGCCAACCACAGGAGGCATGGTCACTGGCCTTATCGGTACGCAGGCCCCTCCAACTTGTATTAAGAGAGCACAACCTGCGGGACAACTTCCGATCGCTTACTTAGCCAACGATGGTGTCAACAGAGGCGTAATCACGCAAAGTACGTCGGGGAAGAGTGGCTGAGCAAGAGGAAATGACTAGCCTTCCTTCCAAATGCGCCAAAAGCGCGTTTCTCCCCAACTTTGACCCACTTTCTCCTCCAAGCTAGGATCCGGAATGCCGGCGACTGAAAAGGTAACCTCGCCCCGGATGACCTGATGACCAGTACAAATCCGCAAAGCCTGTAAAAACAGTGAGTTAGAGGTGAGTGGAGTCCACTTTCGGCACCGAGCTCCCTGAATTTTTCCCTTCACCTCTACACCAAAGCGCACCACCCATGCACAACCATCCCTGCGCTTACACAATTAGAATCGGCGCATTTGCATCACGCATTCGCCGTGCGAAACCGCCGCCCGAGGCGCGTTGGCCGGCAGCGGCCGGGCCGGCCGGCCGGCTGCGCGCGGGCCGCCTTTCCGGGGCGCCGGTGAACGCGGGCGGCCATGATCGACGCAGCCGAGCCGGCCGGCCGGACAAAAGCCGGGAGTCTGTGCGGCCGCGCCGCGAGAAGCCGGAGGCAGCGCCGGTTCGTCCACACCGCACGCCCAGCCTTCTCCCGTGAGTACCGCGCGTCGCGCTGCTGCTGCTCTGCAGCCGTGGTCTCAGCACTAGGTGGGGTGGGGCGAGCTGTGGTGTGTGTGAGGGGCTGGTTCCCGCGGGCTGCCGCCGCCGACGGCCGGCAGGGGCGCGCACCACGGCCACCGCCTGTGCCCAGCGAGCGCGGTGGGGTCTCGCCCCTGCCCCAGCCAGCCACTGCGGCGGTGCGGTACAGCGGGGCTTGCGCGAGAGCAGCGTCCAAGCGACGCCAGCGCCCGCTCGTCCGGCCGCGCGGCCAATTTTTTGTCGCCTGTGGTGACACGTCACGTGACCTTCGAATGGTAGGCGGCGGGCGGGACTCCCCATTATCCTATGGGGCTTTGTCCAGTTGGTAAAGTGTGGCCGCCTGGCGACGCCACCGCTCCGATAGGATTGGATCGGGCCGCGAAGAGAGGCGGCCGGCCGTCTGTGGAACGGCTCAAATTCAATCGATCTGCAGAACGCGAGTGGAGCGATGGGTTTTTCCTCATCTTGGAGGCGCTCAAAGTTCGAAAATGGAAGGAGATTGTACCAATGCCTCGTGAAGTTTCTGACATAAAAGAGCTGCTCCGGTCTAGGATGTGTATCCCTGACGAGTACACACCTGAATCTAAATCCGATTCTGGTGAGTGTGATTGGAAAATGAGGCAACCAGTATGGGAAAGTAGACGGAACCTCTGTGGCCTGGGGCGTTCGCCCCTCGGGTTAAGTGAGCATTGTGCTAGTTTGACACACACACACCGTGTTTTCATGGTACTTTTCTAACAATTGGACACGCACGACGTAAAGGCATGTAACTTGTCGGTCATTCATATAAATGTTTCTGATGTGCTTCAGCATTTACGGTCAATAAGTAATCGTGTGATGCTTTGTGCGATAAGTCTGTGGCAATTTGGCTGCTGAAGCTTGCCATCACTTTAAGGACGCTGTATGTTTCATACAACATTAACTTGGCCATCATCAGTTGCGCCACTTTTCTGAATGTGTCGATATGGATGCCTTGACCTCGCCAATGCACGGTGTACATTTTCTGCAGAGTGACGCTCCTCGCCAGCTAAAAATGTTCGGACTTGGATTGACCATCCCCTCCCCCCGCCCCTCCTCCTTCCCTTCCAAACGTCTTGCTGTTTATAGGCAAGCGCGTTTCCAGTAAACTTCCAACATTTCGCAGCTAGCACGAGAAGGCCACATTTTTCGAGAGACATCCATTATCCAATTATGCGTTACGATGGAAGTCGGTTGGAAAGATTCCTTCTTAAGCGGTTAGTATGTGTCTCCTGGACTTTACTTCTGGTCTAACTGCCTCTGGTCTACCACCAGAGGCAGTAAGACCAGAAGTTAGCCACTTTTCTATACACATTAGCTTATATTCACATGGGCAATTTCACAGCCTCTCACGGTGACTTCCGACAGATTCAGGGCTGAGAGTGGTACCCGGACAGATTCAGGGCTGAGAGTGGTACCCGGACAGATTCAGGGCTGAGAGTGGTACCCGGACAGATTCAGGGCTGAGAGTGGTGCCCGGACAGATTCAGGGCTGAGAGTGGTACCCGGACAGATTCAGGGCTGAGAGTGGTACCCGGACAGATTCAGGGCTGAGAGTGGTACCCGGACAGATTCAGGGCTGAGAGTGGTACCCGGACAGATTCAGGGCTGAGAGTGGTACCCGGACAGATTCAGGGCTGAGAGTGGTACCCGGACAGATTCAGGGCTGAGAGTGGTACCCGGACAGATTCAGGGCTGAGAGTGGTACCCGGACAGATTCAGGGCTGAGAGTGGTACCCGGACAGATTCAGGGCTGAGAGTGGTACCCGGACAGATTCAGGGCTGAGAGTGGTACCCAGACAGATTCAGGGCTGAGAGTGGTACCCAGACAGATTCAGGGCTGAGAGTGGTACCCGGACAGATTCAGGGCTGAGAGTGGTACCCGGACAGATTCAGGGCTGAGAGTGGTACCCGGACAGATTCAGGGCTGAGAGTGGTACCCAGACAGATTCAGGGCTGAGAGTGGTACCCGGACAGATTCAGGGCTGAGAGTGGTACCCAGTGGCCACTAGCCACGCCCGTGTTCCGCCTCTACCACACAGCTGAGTGAATTGTTGGCGGTCATTTGTGGCTCCAGTTTTTATTGGTAACATTTCAAGGACTATAGGCAGCGTCAGGACCATCCAGACCGAGGACAGTTACCAACGAGCATAATATCGCACCTGTGATCCACAGGATTTGGTGTCAGAAGAATGGAAAAAGTGCGTTGGGGACGCAAAATGACATCCCCGGGGCATTCTGAAACACCAGAAGGGTGCGCCAGATGCGGTTAGGAGTTCATGATCGAAATGCTTAATGACCCCCAGGTGTCCTGAAGCGCAAGGTCAATCTCTTAAAACTAAAAAAAGTATCGTCCGGCCTTGAAAGCGGCTGGCTTTATCGGAAAAATTATAACTTGTTTTCCCTTTTTGGCGATGTGTGCGGTTGTGCAAATTGAACCCTTCAAGTCAGATATGTAGAATATGTGATGGCAGTCACTCGCCCTTCGCTCCACTAAGGCCTTTGGATTATAGACTACAAACTCCGAAAATCTCTAGTTTTCTGATGGTCCTAACGGTATTGATGACGTGTGTTCAAATGCGTCCAAAAGACCCGATGCAATGTCCGTAAAAAACGTTGGCGGTCATCTTGGAAGGCACCAAAATAAATGAACTGCGTTAGTGCCCGCAAAAACACAACCAGTAGTCACTCTGAGTTGCATTTGATTTATATTCGCAACAGCGGCACTTGTTTCATATGAGGACACAACTGTTCCCAGCACTGTATCCCGCAGCCGGCCCCATCCCGGTGATACCGGGCTCAGGGCTGCCGAAGCTCTGCGTGACACGATCGGAACCCAGCCTGAACCTGCACGCTTCATTTTGAGCACGCGAGGCGTCAGAAACGGTAACACATTCCATTGGGAGCGAGTCACAAGAAGCAAAATGAATTTCAGCTATACGGTTGGTCAGGTAGACAGATACTCAGCAGTGTACGCAAGATGAGATGAGGGTATTCAACCGTAAGTCGTTCACGCAGATGTTACTGATATCATAGCATAACGACGTTCACTCACTGTGTTAAAGCGATACGAATGCCTGTTAAAAACTCACTGCAAGATGGAGAGAGAAAAAGTATAAAAAACGAGCTAAACGCCGCCACCAGAAAAAGTGTGTCAAAGTACGTGACAGGTGTGGGATAGCAAATTATCAGTAATCTTCAATCTCTTCCTTGACCTCGGATCAAAGCAGCATTAGCAGCCATCGCGGGTGAAATTTTGTGCTACTCAGGTTTGTGCAAAAATTATATTTGAGAGTGGAGCTACTGGCAAACTAGCAGTACTTTGATGCCCTGGCACCAGTTATCATGCCCGTAGTTTGCTATTTTTTGCCCGTGTCCAAACATACACCGTTGTTTTTCTTAATTTTGTTTCCAGCCCGAGAATATACCCGTCTGGTTTGAGTGCCCGTGGTTTTACCGGGACCACGAAAGTCTGTATGCAGTATGAAACAGTACAGAGTGTTTAACGTGCCTATAGCATCCACAGGGGCCCGAGCCTTGTCCTGTGGCATGTCCGTAAAAAGCTTATCAATTAATAGTATCCAAACCAGGGTTTATACATCTCAGTTTTACTGTGCTGAAGAAGGCATCACAGCTAAGTGTGGCATCGCACGCCAAAGCTTACACGGCTTATTTCCCAATACCACGTAGGGGTCCTCAAAGCGCGATGAAGAGCGCTATGAGGACCTCTACGTGGTATTGGGAATAAGCTGCGTAACTGTTCTGTCGCAAAAGATATGCATAAAATATGACGTCATAAAAATACTGAACTAGAGCCCTCTCCCAATTTATCAACTTAGCAACCACGGACAGACCGTACACGAAATACGTCGGTTAAATATTCATCTTGAAAAGCATTCGGTGCAGCTGGCATCCCTGCCCATCTTAAGACCTAAGCCCATCTAGTTTCTGAGCTACACGCCCGCGAAGATGTGCGAACTCTTTCGAGAGGACTAGTTCAAGGTCATCCAGGCATCCGTGACGCAATACTTATGCCATTCAAATACTGTCATTCCATTAGCCATGCGGCGAACAAAGCAAATACACGTATAATTGTCGAACCGTTCATATCTGGCGTCCGTGAGCATGATTTCCAGATATAACGGCCGTCAGTTGGCTCTCAATCATTGTCGAACAAGGAACGTCGGTGTGATCAAACAGTGAGATATTGAGAGACATATTTACTTAACGGAGAAATTATGTTTCTTTATCTTTCTAAATATTTAATATCTACAACTGTGGAACATTCCCTTTAAGTTGGCTCTATTGATGCACATTATGCTCGCATCTGGCCTTGTCACTATGCTGGCCTGTTTTCTGTGACAGTAAGTTTACTTCCTAATTTCGGATGTTTCATTGGCAACTTTAGTTTACTGGTCTTTGTGCGTGCTTCTATATTATTATTCAAACTTTTCTTGAGTGGGGGCCCATTGACTCCGCATCAGATTCCATGAGATTCATGACATGATGAGTCCGAGCTCGAGTACGTCAGCCCCTTTTTTCAAAGTATGCGTCATTGATCTAAAATACTGACCACCATTATGTGGATGCAGAGTCCTAGCCCCGCACGGTCATGAGTCCGCAATCGGTCCCGAGTCCAGTGAGACCCGCACCCATATGTCGGCCTATGGCTCATCAATAGTCATGTTTAACAGCTACCTGCCCGCTGAGACGCGTGGAGAAGCGTACCCCGCGCGTTTGAACGTGTGCTCCGCGCGCTGGGAGCGTACCCCGCGCGCTGGAAGCTTACCCCGCGCGCTGGGAAGCGTACCCCTCGCGTTGGCAAGCATGCTCCGTGCGCTGGGAAGCTTACCCCGCGCGCTGGGAACGTACCCCGCGCGTTGGGAAGCATGCTATGCGCGCTGGAAAGCGTACCCCGCGCGCCGCGAAGCGTCCTC